TACACGGTCATGCAACACTGTACCCATATGAAATGTTTATCATTTGTTTCACACAAATAGAGCTTTATTTGGTGGTATTTAATCGCTGCTGGGTGTTTTATTTTTTGCACCATAAACTAAAAAAGAGCAAAAAATTTGAAAAAAAAAAAAGGCTTCTTTATTTCTATTATAAAATTTAGCTGTGATTGGCCTTTTACCTTGTCATGTGATCAGCTGTGTCCGTAAGGGCACAGTGATCATAGATAGCACCGGGTGCATGCTTTCTGGGAGAATGTCATATGACGCCCTCCCAGAATTGGACGACTGCACTGTAGCCAATATTCGGCTATAGCCCGGTTGTCAAGTGGTTAATGAAAGCCGAAGTCGTATCCAAGTTGCACCCATCCAAAATTGTGTCAAAGTTGCACTCCAAAGTCATGCAACTTTGGAGTCGCACAAGTGTGAATGGTAAACAAGATAAATAGAGTGAATCTCCCTAAAAGGGGCACAGACATCAATAAAAACCTGGCAGAGGTTCTCCCCATTAAGGGCACCGACATCAATAAAAACCTGGCAGAGGTTCTCCCCATTAGGGGCACAGACATCAATAAAAACCTGGCAGAGGTTCTCCCATTAGGGCCACAAACATCAATAAAAACCTGGCAGAGGTTCTCCTCATTAGGGGCACCGACATCAATAAAAACCTGGCAGAGGTTCTCCCCATCAGGGGCCATGGGCATCAATAAAAACCTGACAGAGGTTCTCCCCATTAGGGGCACCGACATCAATAAAAACCTGGCAGAGGTTCTCCCCATGAGGGGCACAGACATCAATAAAAACCTGGCATATTTTCTCCCCATTAGGGGCACCAACATCAATGAAAACCTGGCAGAGGTTCTCCCCATTAAGGGCACCAACATCAACAAAAACCTGGCAGAGGTTCTCCCCATCAGGGGCACCGACATCAATAAAAAACCTGGCAGAGGTTCTCCCCATTAGGGGCACAGACATCAATAAAAACCTGGCAGAGGTTCTCCCATTAGGGCCACAGACATCAATAAAAACCTGGCAGAGGTTCTCCTCATTAGGGGCACCGACATCAATAAAAACCTGGCAGAGGTTCTCCCCATCAGGGGCCATGGGCATCAATAAAAACCTGGCAGAGGTTCTCCCCATTAGGGGCACTGACATCAATAAAAACCTGGCAGAGGTTCTCCCCATGAGGGGCACAGACATCAATAAAAACCTGGCATATTTTCTCCCCATTAGGGGCACCAACATCAATGAAAACCTGGCAGAGGTTCTCCCCATTAAGGGCACCAACATCAACAAAAACCTGGCAAAGGTTCTCCCCGACATCAATAAAAACCTGGGAGCATCAGGGGCACGACATCAATAAAAACCTGGCAGAGGTTCTCCCCATTAGGGGCACGAATCAATAAAAACCTGGCAGAGGTTCTCCCCATTAGGGGCACGGGCATCAATAAAAACCTGGCAGAGGTTCTCCCCATCAGGGGCACGGGCATCAATAAAAACCTGGCAGAGGTTCTCCCCATCAGGGGCACTGACATCAATAAAAACCTGGCAGAGGTTCTCCCCATCAGGGGCACACATCAATAAAAACCTGGCATCATCAGGGGGCACCAAAAATAAAAAACCTGGCAGAGGTTCTCCCCATCAGGGGCACAACATCAAAAGGTAAAAACCTGGCAGAGGTTCTCCCCATCAGGGGCACAATACATCAATAAAAACCTGGCAGAGGTTCTCCCCATCAGGGGCACACAATACATCAATAAAAACCTGGCAGAGGTTCTCCCCATCAGGGGCACAGACATCAATAAAAACCTGGCAGAGGTTCTCCCCATCAGGGGCACAGGACATCAATAAAATCCTGGCAGAGGTTCTCCCCATCAGGGCACCAATATAATAAAAACCTGGCAGAGGTTCTCCCCATCAGGGGCACAGACATCAATAAAAACCTGGCAGAGGTTCTCCCCATCAGGGGCACAGGCATCAATAAAATCCTGGCAGAGGTTCTCCCCATTAGGGGCACCGACATCAATAAAAACCTCGCAATTAACCAACATCAATAAAAACCTTGCAGAGGTTCTCCCCATTAGGGGCACAGACATCAATAAAAACATGGCAGAGGTTCTCCCCATTAGGGGCACCGACATCAATAAAACCTGGCAGAGGTTCTCCCTATTAGGGGCACAGACATCAATAAAAACATGGCAGAGGTTCTCCCTATTAGGGGCACAGACATCAATAAAAACATGGCAGAGGTTCTCCCCATTAGGGGCACCGACATCAATAAAAACCTTGCAGAGGTTCTCCCCATTAGGGGCACAGGCATCAATAAAAAAACATGGCAGAGGTTCTCCCCATTAAGGGCACTGACATCAATAAAAACCTTGCAGAGGTTCTCCCCATTAGGAGCACAGACATCAATAAAAACATGGCAGAGGTTCTCCCTATTAGGGGCACAGACATCAATAAAACCAGGCAGAGGTTCTCCCTATTAGGAGCACCGACATCAATAAAAACCTGGCAGAGGTTCTCCCCCCATAAGGGGCATAGACATCATTAAAAACCTGGCAGAGGTTCTTCTCCCCATAGGGGCACAGGCATCAATAAAAACCTGGCAGAGGTTTTCCCTATTAGGGGCAGACATCAATAAAAACCTGGCAGAGGTTCTAATCCCTCTTCACTATATTCAAATCTATAAAAAGTTTTGCCTTCAGTTACACTTTATGTTTTAATGTGAAACTAATGCAGGCCATAGATGGGTCGAAAATCGGCCGATTTGTCGGCCGAAAATAAAATCGGCCGATTTTCGGATCGTTAGTGGGTGATTTGGTCGGCCGTTTTTCGGGATTTTGGCCGTTTTTTTTTTTTGGTAAAGTTGGAAAAAAAATCGGCCGATCGGCCGATTTTCGCGGCATTAATGGGCCAATCGGCCGATTTCTTACCGATAAAAAATCTGCGCATGAGCAGTGACCTGCAAGAGGAAGACAAAAAGAAGAAAAAGAAGAAGAGGAAGAGGATGAAGAAGAGGAGGATGAAGAAGAGGATGAGGAAGAAGAAGAGAGATGAAGAAGATGAGGATGAAGAAGAAGAGGATGAGGATGAAGAAGAAGAAGAGGATGAGGATGATGAAGAAAAGAAGATGAAGAAGAAGAAGAGGATGATGATGAAGAAGAAGAAGAAAGAGAGATGAAGAAGAAGAAGAGGATGAAGAAGAAGAAGAGGATGAGGATGAAGAAGAATGAAAAGAAGAAGAAGAAGAATGAAAAGAAGAATGAGAAGAAGAATGAAAAGAAGAAGAATGAAAAGAAGAAGAAGAATGAAAAGAAGAATGAAAAGAAGAAGAAGAAGAAGAAGAAGAAGAAGAAGAGGATGAGGATGAAGAAGAATGAAAAGAAGAATGAAAAGAAGAAGAAGAAGAATGAAAAGAAGAATTCCAGTACAGCAAAAAGTGTATCTGCAGAGAGCTCTGCTATTTCTGACAGTTCTCTGACAGTTCCTTCACATTTACAGCGGTTGAAACATTGTATCTATTTGTTTCCGAATAAAAACATCTGTATCCTAAATGGAAACAAATAGATACAATGTTTCAACCGCTGTAAATGTGAAGGAACTGTCAGAGAACTGTCAGAAATAGCGGAGCTCTCTGCAGGGACACTTTTTGCCGGCTGTAGACGGGATGAAAATCGGCCGATTTTTTTTTACCATTGGTGGTAACGTCGGCCACTTGAACGACCAATTGTTCGTTTTTTTAAAAGAAAAATCGGCCGATTTTCGACCCATCTATGGCCTGCATAAAGGCAAATTTTTGTTTTCATTTTGGATAGAGTGAGGGTTATAATGGCTGTCATTTTTTGTTTTGCCGTGTGATATTAGGGAGGTTCATCCTCACTTCCTGTCCCATGGCCAAAACCGGAAGTCAGATTTCCCCTTCATTTCTGTTCCACAACTGGAATGAAAGTTTTGCTTTCAGTTACACTTCAGGATTGAAGAGCAGCATTCTGTATCAGTTGTGGGACTTTGTATAGGTCCAGCTGTGCTCTCTGAAATACATTCCCCCGCCTGGTGTTGGCTGAATGACACGACTCGGTTCTTCTCCCTCCTAGCAGTCGTATCTAATCTCCTAGCAGCCTGCACCTGCCTCCACATCGTGCCCAGCACAGCACAGAGGAGGAGGAGAATAGGAGGCACACACTTCATTTCCGGCGCCTCTCCAACCTCTGCTCTTCTACCTTCCGGTTCAGGAGGAGGATCGGCAGCGATCAGCTGAGAGGGGGGCGCGTGATTGGACGGTGACAGCCCTCCATGGTGAGTGTGGGGGGGGTCGGGAGGGGTGATGACGAGTGACTATATGAGAGCTCTAGGTACTCTTGTCAGGACATGACTAGACGCTGAGGATGATTGTACACCAAATGTCTGGATACCTGGGGGCTTTGTTTATAAAGCAGTGCCTGTGACTGGCTCCAAACTTTCCCTGCTGGTGAATCAGTCACTGTCACTGAAACCATGAGCTTTCACCACAGTGAATGTCAGATTCACCACTTGTCCTCCATAGGATTTCCCCCCTTCCTGACCAGGCCATTTTTTGCTATACAGCGCTGCACTAGTTTAACTGACAATTGCGCGGTGATGCAACGCTGTACATAAATACAATTTGTCCTTTTTCCCCCCACAAATAGAACTGTCTTTTGGTGGTATTTGATCACCTGTGCATTTTCTTTGCGCTATAAACAAAAAAACCCAACAGTTTTGAAAAAAAACCAATATTTTTGACTTTATGCTATTAACCACCTCCCGCCCGCCATATAAAGGAAATGACGGGAGCGCGGTGGTTCTTTCGTTCTTGGAGGACGTCATATGACGTCCTCCTACTCTAAACGCGTTTGCGCACCCCCCGGGGGCTCGCAGCACGGCGAGAAGTGGTGCGCTGTGTCCCTGGGGCACGGGATCACTGATCAGCAGAAAGAGCCGATGACTTCTGCTTTGTCTTGTGATCAGTTGTGTCCAATCACAGTTGACCGCATGTAAGTAAGGAAATGCCGATTATCACGCTGACAGCTCGTGCGGAGAGGAGAGCCGGTAATCGGCATTCCTCAGAAGGGACATCTACACTGATCATCAGGGCCACCTGTCAGTGCCACATCAAATCAGTTCCTACCAGTGCACGTCAATGCCACATATCAGTGCCCATCTGAGCTGCCTTTCAGTGCCGCCTATCAGTGTCCTTCAGTGCCACCTAACATTACCAGTCAGTGACGCCTATCAGTGCAGTGACATATATGAGTACTGCCTTTCAGTGCCCATCAGTGATGCCTATCAGTGCCACCTACCAGTGCCTCCTCATCAGTGCCCATCACTGCAGCCTCATTAGCGCACATCAGTGAAGGAGAAAAATTACTAATTTACAAAATTTTACAACAGAAATACATTTTTTGTGCATTTTGTTGCGCTCCAGTGCATTCCGGTGCATTTTTTTTATGCGTTTTGGTGCACTCCAGTGCGTTCCGGTGCATTTTTGATGCATTTTACTGTGTTCCAGTACAGTTTTGTGCAGAAAAAATGCAGCCTGTTCTACTTTTTTTTTCTGCATCCAGAACGCACTGGAACTGCACACACTGATGTGAACTATGGCATTGACAGCCATGTATCCTACTTTCTGTGCATTTTGGATGCAGAAAAAAAAAAGCAACTGAAACGCATGTGAACTGGCCCTTTAAAAGGACTTTGGACAGGTGGTGAAGAGGTGTTCTATACCTCTTCATTGCTGATTTAACCCTACAATGCCACACTACCATGTTGTTGCAATTGTGTGCATTGCACACGGTTGTCGGCGGCCCACTTGAACTCAGTGGGTGAGTGCTGCTTGTCAAATTGCACCCCAAGTTACAAATGACACGGTCACAACATGTGAACAGCCCCCCGGCAGTTATTTTACAGTTCTCATGAAACAGCTCTTTCAGATGGGTGGTCTGGGGGTAGTAAAACCGGGCAGCTGAACTGATCTATTTCATGAGTTGCTGTACCTATTATTCCTAGTGCCAGGTTTTTGTTTTCTATATGTTTACGTACCTACGGACCTTTCCAGGTCCAAAATCAATATTAAGCAGAATTAAAGTGATATTAAAGGCAATTAAAAAAAAACATGAAACATCTTATGTACATGTAAGGGTTTTGCACAGAGCAGCATCGATCCTCCTCTTCTCACATCCCCTGCTGGCTCTCCTGGCCCCTCCCTCCTGCCAAGTGCCCCTACAGCAAGCAGCTTAATATGGGGGCACCCAAGCAGGATCACTCCCAAGCTGCTGCCCTGTATATCCATTCACACAGCTGCGGCTTGACCCCACCCCCTCTCTCTTCTCATTGACTCACTGTCTGTAATTGACAGCAGTGGGAACCAATGTATCAGCCAGTGAGGAGGGGGAGTCCCCGGAGAGCTGAGGCTCTCATGCACATCGCTGGATCGTGATGGAGCTCAGGTAGGTATCAGGGTGGCTGAGGGGCCTGCTGCACACAGAAGGTTTTTTACCTTCATGGATAGAATTCATGAAGATAAAAAGCCTTGAGCCTTATCCAACCACTTTAAAGCGGAGTTCCACTCGCACTGTAAAAAAATAAAAGTCAGCAGCTACAAAAACTGTAGCCACTCACCTGTCCCACGATCCCACGGTGTCCTCCCCACAGCCCATTTAACCAGCCTTCTGGTGTTGCACGCGCTGGCATCTTCAGTGTGGGTACCCGACTGTGACAGCTTGAGGCTTCACAGCCGGGTGCCCACTGCGCATGCGCTTCCTGAATGGCCCTGTAGTCTTCTGGGACCTGTCAGGTGTCCCAGAAGACTACGGGGAGGAGAGGGTTGGAGGACAACGTCCGCTTCCGATTGCCTAGGTGATCGCAGCAGGAGTGGGTACCTGCGCCCCCCTCCTGCTCCCCAAAGGTGCCAATTCTTAAAGGGGAACGGGGGACCAGTTTTTAACCGTTTGCCGCCCTGCCACTGTGTATATACGTGTGCAGGGCGGCAGTGGAGTGCAAAACCACGTTTAAAAACGGGTTCCGCGCTCCCGCTTTCGCCGGCACCCGCGGGACCCGCGGGTGACACGATTTGATCCAGGAGGGATCAATCATTAGATTTCAGCCAGTGATTTCTGGGTGAAATCACATGATCGGTCCCTGTCCTATCCTATCCTGTCCTGTGTTGACATACACACAGGGCAGGATATGATGTCATTCTTCTCTGCCTGGACACATTCCGTTCCAGACAGAGAAGAAGACATCCAAAAAGTGAGTACACAAGCACTACACTACAGTTAGAACACTCTAGGACACATTTAACCCCCTGATCGCCCCCCCCCTCCCCCCCCAGTTAACCCTTCACTGCCCTGTCACCAGTGTCACTGATCAGTGAAGCGATTTTTACTGATCAGTGTCGCTGGCGACTTCCGATAGAGTTAGCGCCCCTCCCAGATAGCGCCAGATTGCCCGCCAGTACACCAGTAATCCTGTTTAACCCCTTGATCGCCCCCCCCCCCCAGTTAACCCCTGCACTGCCCTGTCACCAGTGTCACTGATCAGTGAACCAATTTTTTTGATCACTGTATCAGTGTCGCTGGCGACTTCCGATAGAGTTAGCGCCCCTCCCAGATAGCGCCAGATTGCCCGCCAGTACACCAGTAATCCCGTTTAACCCCTTGATCACCCCCCCCCCCCCTCCAGTTAACCCCTTCACTGCCCTGTCACCAGTGTCACTGATCAGTGAACCAATTTTTACTGATCACTGTATCAGTGTCGCTGGCGACTTCCGATAGAGTTAGCGCCCCTCCCAGATAGCGCCAGTTGCCCGCAAGTACACCAGTAATCCCGTTTAAAACCCCTTAATCTCCCCCCCCCCAGTTAACCCATTCACTGCCCTGTCACCAGTGTCACTGATAAGTGAACCGATTTTTACTGATCACTGTATCAGTGTCGCTGGCAACTTCCAATAGTATTAGCGCCCCTCCCAGATAGCGCCAGATTGCCCGCCAGTACACCAGTAATCCCGTTTAACCCCTTGATCGCCCCCCCCCCCCCCCCCCAGTTAACCCCTTCACTGCCCTGTCACCAGTGTCACTGATCAGTGAACCAATTTTTACTGATCACTGTATCAGTGTCGCTGGCGACTTCCGATAGTGTTAGCGCCCCTCCCAGATAGCGCCAGTTTGACCGCTAGTGCACCAGAAATCCCATTTAACCCCTTGACCGCCCCCCTCCCCCCCCCCAGTTAACTCCTTCACTGCCCTGTCACCAGTGTCATTGATTACAGTGAACAGATTTTTACTGATCACTGTATTAGTGTCACTGGTGACTTCCGATAGTGTTAGCGCCCCTCCTAGATAGCGCCAGTTTGCCCGCTAATGCACGGGATTTTTTTTTACCAAAAACATGTAGCAGAATACATTTTGGCTTAAATTTATGACTAACTTTGAGTTTACGATATATTTTTTATAGCTGAAAGTAGAAAATATTGTTTTTTTTTCAAAATTTTCATGTTTTTTTTGTTTATAGCGCAAAAAATAAAAAGCGCACAGGTGATCAAATACCACCAAAAGAAGGCTCTATTTGTGTGAAAAAAGGACGTAATTTTCGTTTGGGTGCAGCATTGCATGACCGTGCAATTATCATTTGAGTTAGTGCAGCGCTGTATTGCAAAAAAAGGCATAAATTACAGTACCTATACCATAGTTTGTAGACGCTATAACTTTCACACAAAGCAATCAATATACACTTATTGGGATTTTTTTTTACCAAAAACATGTAGCAGAATACATTTTGGCTTAAATTTATGACTAACTTTGAGTTTACGATATATTTTTTATAGCTGAAAGTAGAAAAATATTGTTTTTTTTTCAAAATTTTCGTGGTTTTTTTGTTTATAGCGCAAAAAATAAAAAGCGCACAGGTGATCAAATACCACCAAAAGAAAGCTCTATTTGTGTGAAAAAAAGGACGTAAATTTTGTTTGGGTGCAGCATTGCATGACCGCGCAATTATCATTTGAGTTAGTGCAGCGCTGTATAGCAAAAAAAAGGCATAAATTACAGCATCTATACGATAGTTTGTAGACGCTATAACTTTCACACAAAGCAATCAATATACACTTATTGGGATTTTTTTTTACCAAAAACATGTAGCAGAATACATTTTGGCTTAAATTTATGACTAACTTTGAGCTTACGATATATTTTTTATAGCTGAAAGTAGAAAATATTGTTTTTTTTTTTTCAAAATTTTCGTGGTTTTTTTGTTTATAGCGCAAAAAATAAAAAGCGCACAGGTGATCAAATACCACCAAAAGAAAGCTCTATTTGTGTGAAAAAAAAGGACGTAAATTTTGTTTGGGTACAGCATTGCATGACCGCGCAATTATCATTTGAATTAGTGCAGCGCCAAACAGCAAAAAAAGGCCTGGTCATTAAGGGGGGAAATCCTCTAGGGCTCAAGTGGTTAAAGTGGAACTTCCTCTTTCGGGTGGAGCTCCGCTTTAAGTTAGGCCCTCCACAATTGTTTCAGTTTCTCATATGGCCTCTCAGGAAAATGAATTGCCCACCCCTGGCTTATACCTGTTACATTCTCTGACATTTCTAAAGATTCACCCAAAATATCTCTTAGATTGCAAGCTCAGAGGCCCTCCTAACCCTCTTGTATTGAACTGTATTGTCTCCCATTATATTGTAAAGCTCTGAGCAAACTGTTGGCGCTGTATAAAAATCCTGTATTATAATAATAATTTACCACTGTAAGTCAACATTTACCCATTTAACATTTTATGTGTAGGTGAATGTGCAGTGAATCCAGACTGCCAAATGTACCCGGATTCAGGGGCCTATGTGAATTAGTTCCAAAGCATACAAACTCCTTGTTATGATTGTAGTATGTGGGAAAAACACACACGCATATAGTGACTCCTGTGAGATTTGGAAAGGCCACCTATTTAGAATGGGTTGGTTCTCTATTATGTTCCTAGATGACTCTTTCCTTCCTGGTTTCAAAGTGTGGCCCTCCTGCTGTGTCTTACAAGTTATACCATAAAAGACTATTGTTAAACCTTGTGGGAGGCTGTGGTACGGTCTGTGACGTCAAGGAACCCACCAATTGAACTGGAACCCTCAGCTTGAGAAAATGTGTACGACTTTCTGAATGTTATTGTATCTCAAGCACACGTATCTACCCTAGCTCTAGAAATCTGGTGTAGGTTTATTCTTTTGTTTTTTGACTTTTTTTTTTTTTCAAGCTTGTTATACTGCTTTTGTTTGTTTTGCAAACACTTTAGTCCTTGTTTAATAAAACAGTACAAATATAGCTTTCAGTCAAAGGTTTGTGTACAGATTTCTGGAGAAAAATAATGTCTGGCACTATATTGGTTGATATCATCATTAACCACTTGCCCTTGTGAGGATTTTCCCCTTTTCCTGACCAGGCCATTTTTTGCGTTACGGCGCTGCGTTTCTTTAACTGACAATTGCGTGGTCATGCAACGCTGCACCCAAATGAAATGTACGTCTTTTTTTTTTTCCACGAATTGAGCTTTCTTTGGGTGGTGGTTTATCACCTGTGTGTTTTTTTTTTTTTTTTGCGCTATATATATATATAAAAAAAAAATGCCAACAATTTTAAGAAAAAAAACTTTAAAAAAAAAAAAAAATCTAAAATTTTTTATCCTAAATTTACGCCAAAATGTATTCTGCTACATGTCTTTGCTAAAAAAAAAAAAAAAAAAAAAAAAAAACCAATACGTGTAAATTAATTGGTTTACATGGAAGTTATATTTACAAATGGCGGTATAGATATTGGAATTTTTTTTTCTACTAGTAATGGCAGCGATCAGTGATTTACAGCGGGACTGCGGCTGCCATTCTGACACTGGGGGGAACTGACTTGGTGTCACTGACATCCCCAGTAACACCAATACAGGGATCAGTGCTACAAAAAAGCACTGACACTGTACTAATGACACTGGGAAGGAAGGGGTTAACATGAGGGGTGATCAAATGGTTAACTGTGTGCTGGGAGTGTTTTACTGGGGGGCTGTGTGTGTGGGCTTCACTGTAAGCACACTACTCTGGATGGCTGTGCACAGTCATCCAGAGCAGTGTGCCCGAGCCGACAGAGGAGAACTGTTAGTAAACAAAGCAGTCGTCCTCCCCGTCGGAGATGCTTGGTAATCAGCGGGCAGCGGTGGGGAATCACTGTCTGGGACCCGGTGATTGACAGCTGTAGCCTCGAATGGCAGCGTGGGTAGGGCACGCACGTGGCTTGTGCACGCCCCCTACACGAAAATACAAAATCACATATATATACGTGATTTTGCACACCCCTGCCGCCCTGTGGCAGTATATCTGCTATAGGGCGGTCGGGCTGTAGTTAATACAGTATATAAAGCTGAATTTCAAGTGTGCCCTTTTATTTATTTATTTATTTATTTTTGGATGGTTGCAGTTATGCTCAAAAATGTGCACGTCCTGGCAGAAATCATGACATTTTGGCATTGATATTGAAAATGACTGATCATGCCAAAAAACTGTCTTTTATTTAAGGATGGCGATCATATGAAGCCATTTATTATCACATAATTGTTTGGCTTCTTTTTATATCATAATGAGAACAGAAATCACCCAAATAGCCATGATCAAAAGTTTGCATGCCCTGGTACAGACACACAAGGTGACACACACACAGGTTACAATGGCAATTCAAGTTTAATTTCCCACATCTGTGGCTTTTTAAATTGCAATTAGTGTCACTGTATAAATAGTGAATGACTTTGTTAGCTTTAACGTAGATGCACTGGGCAGACTAGATACAGCCCCATGGGGAGCAGAAAAGAACTATCAAAATACCTGCGTAACAAGGTCATAGAACGTTTGAAGATGCAAAAAGGATATAAAAAGATATCCAAAGTCTTGAATATGCCAGTCAGTATGAAACTGGTTTAATTGTAACACTCTTTACCACCTATTTATTATATAAAGTTACTGAACGCAGGCCCAATCCAATGACGAGCTGAAATACATGTGTGCTAGGTAAAACCAGAACAAGAGGTGCACTGCACCACATTTAAATGCAACAAAGTGTCACAATACACTGTGACATATGTTAAAAGAAAAGTATGTTTTTTTTTTTTTTTTTTTTTTAAAATCATACTAGGCGGATGCAGCATCAGTCCGATTCTGCAGCTGTCCCCTGCCGGCTCCAAGGGTGAGAACTCTGTGATCACATGACTGCTGGTCGCTGAGTTCTCACAGCCGCACTTAGTAGAGAGCAGTGACTGTTAGTCACCGCTGTCTGCTCGCGCTCACTGGAGCACTGGGTTGTGGAGGGGGGTAGGGAGCGACAGGCTCTCAGCACCTCGCTGAGAGGTTGAGCCAAGTGCTGCTCCAGACTCTGGGGTGGATCCTGACTTTACAGTCAGGATCTTTACCCAGCCTGGACTGGCTGAGTGACATCAGCTGACAGCAGGCTTCAGCCTGTAAACTGACACACAGATTTCACTTGCAGACACATCAGTTTTCATGTCCGCTTCAATGAGTTTTATACATGTTGCAGATTCCTGCGGAGAAAAATATCTGCGCTTGATACTAGTATTGTGGAGCATCTTCTATTTTCCCCCAACACACATCAACACAGCATGTTGGTGTGAGCTGAACCTATAGGAAATAATGGATTTCAGCTTATCATTGCACTGGGCCAGCTTTGAGCAACAGGCGTGGTATGAATGGGACCTAAGGCTACTTTCAAACTGATGAAGTATGTTTTGAGCACAACGCGGGAGCAGCGCAGTCTACCTGTGGGTTAGTTGTGCTTTCCCATAGAATTCTGTTAGGTCCTGTGATTTTGGTGCATTTCCTGAGAGTGCACCGTAATTCCTGCATGCTGCATCTTTGTTGCTTTTTCCAAAAGCACTCCAAAACCACAGGAACTAATGGAACTCTTTGGGAAATTGTAGATGACCCGCACCAAACCCACAGGTACACACACTGCTCCCGTAGTATGGTCAAACTGCACTGCATCAGTGAGAAAGCATCCGTACTCTACTCACACAGGTGTTTTCAAGAAGGTCTCCTTTAAAAAAAAAAGCATATGTAGAGAGAAATATAGGGACAGCCTTTGCTAGACACCTTCTTTGTTTTCTAGTTGTCTAGTAACAATGCTGATCCAGAGGCTTCAGTGGTTTTTGACTAAGCTACCTGGAACAAGCCTGCAGTAGTTATTTCAGAATTAGATCAGAAACATTGATGTGGAGACTCATTCCAGGTCAGTGACTAAGAGCAAATTTAGGGTGTTGCAAAAGGATTAGAAAGATAAATCTGACTTGCTGACCTAGAATAAGCATGTAGCATGTATGGGTGGCACAGTGGCTTAGTGGTTAGCATGTCTGATCCTGTCTAAATTGGCCCTAGTATGTGTATGTAGGAATGTGAGTTAGGGACCTTAGATTGTACACCCCTTGAGGGTTAGGGACTGATGTGAATGTTCAATATGCGGTATATGTGTAAAGCGCTGCATAAATTGACAGCGCTATATAAGTACCTGAAATAAATAAATGTAGCAGGTGAAGAAGGCAGAACTCCAGATCAGCCAAGCATTTTCAGAATGAGGTTAGCAATGGCCACTACCATATTTCTATCATCAGTGATTTCCTTGAATTGAAAAGTTTATTCAAAGCTTTGTTGTCATAAATAATTTATTAAGAACAACTGGTGTACTATAAGTAATATCTTCAAGACATATTTTTTAATTTGAACATGCTATCATTTTTCTGTGTGTTTGGGGATAATGATCACATTCCACATTCTGCTGATTATATTGGGCTTTTTTTTTTTTATTCTTACAGACCATGAGTTCTGTTTCACCAGGGAAGGAACATGTTCCATTTCACCATGAACAAAATCTCACCCCTATCCACAATGAGTATTTGCCTTTGCAATTTCAAGGATTTGTCTACAAACCAGAGATGTGCAGAAAGAATTGTGGGTTCTATGGTAACCCAGCTTGGCATGGCTATTGTTCTAGATGCTGGATCCAGAAGAGACAGCAGACTCAGCCGCTAACAAATGGGTAAGTACTATTTCCACATTCAACCAGTAAAGGTGCATTTAAAAGTTTTTTTTTTTTTTTTTTTTGTGCTGCATTGAGCACCCAGTGTGTGTGGTATGCATACACAGGCTTGTGCTGCAAAAAGTATATTAACCAAGTCAGTCCCCAGCAACAAAGTACAACTACAATATAGAGAGGGGCACAAAAAGCCTTTCTGGTTAATTAACATACCTGTGAATGTTCAGATTGGTAGTATGTGCGGAGGAGGAATATGAAGGGTATGTGGACTGTGAAGAGGAGGAGTGCAGAGTGTATGATCGCAGGCAGTCTGTGCAGAGGGTATGACAGTGGACAGTATCTACAGGAGGGGAGTTTGGAAGGTATAACAGCAGGCAGTATGTGCAGGAGAAGACTGCAGAGGGTACGATGGCAGACAGTTTGTCTAGGGGAGTAGAGAAAAGGGTATGATGGCGGGGTCTGGCTGTTACCAGTGTGTGTGGCTGGATAGTGCGAGTATGTGCGGGGAAGAGTGCAGTGGATATGAGAGTGAGCAGTATGTGCAGGGGAGGAGTAGGGAGGGTATGACAGTGGGTCTTATGTGCTTGAGTGTAGAGGGTATGACGTGAACAGTATGTGCCGCAGAGGAATGTGGAGGGTATGACTACTGGCAGCATGTCCAATGGAGGAGTGCAGAGGTAATGGTGGCAGCCAGTATGTACAAGACGGGTGTGGAGGATTTGATGGGAAGGCAGTATGTGCAGGGGAGGTGTGCAGAAGGGAGAGGGTGAGGTATGACTATATACAGAAGAAGAGCACAAAGTGTATGACCGTGCACCCCACATTTAAGGGAGAAGGGTATGGCATCACACACAATGTACAGTGAAGGTGTGTAGCATATGGGGTAAAGGAGTGGAAAGTGTGGGATATGTTTTATAACTTGGTTTATGTGTGTTTTTTTTTTTCATACGGTGGTGAAAGGTTTTCTTTAGACCCTTAATGCCTTCTCTGTGTCCATTAGGTGTGTGCTGTGGTTATGTTTTATGACTGGCCTGTCTAATATGAATGAGCACTGGGTATGCTGCAACAAGAGTATGTTCTGTTCAACTAAATTCAGGATGAGACTGAGTCCCCCAGTAACAAAGTGAAAGTAGAACCTTGGCATAATATAATACACTTAGGATAGGATAGTGCTGACATATTTTGTGCCACTTTACTGACTATATTAGAATCATTCACATCAGCCTTTTACCCTGTAGAAGCGTACAATATAATGTCCCTATCAGGCTAATAGTTGCCCATACACACTGTCAGACAAGCTTAGTCAGACCTCTTTTAACTTACTAGTATGCTTTTAAGTTGTAGGAGTAAACTGAATCACTCAGAGGAAACTCACGCTGCTGAGATTTGAATGCAAGACGGACATACAGAGCAGGAGTACTTGCTAGTCAGTCACTAGAGCTGAGACAGCTGGTGATCAGCCAATAGTTCAGACAGTTGACAGGGCAGGAACAATTAAACTTAAAGGATAAGTTCAGCTTTGGGAATATATTACATGTAACATGTTCCCTCCACTGCCAACCCCCCCCCCCCCCCCCCCCCCCTTTCCCTCCCTACGACAGCAGTATGGGAAGAAGTTCCCCATACTAGCTGTCACTATTTAAAAACCACACAGCCATGTCGGGCTGCACCCACATGACGTTCTTCAATCATTCACAGAACTCTGTGAATGAATGACACAAAGTCCTGACAGCCTTAGCGGCTGTTGGCTGTTCTCAACAAAGTACCACAATGCTATGGAGCGCCATGGTAGTTCATTCAATCTTCCTGTCAGTGTATCTGCTTGCCCGTACAGGCAAGCAGATATACGGTCAGGTCTGTAGGAGACCTGCATGGCACCAGCAATATGCTGATCACTGGTGCAATGCTTTACAGGCTCCTGCAACCAAAAATAATAAATACACATTTTTTTTACCTGTAGTAAAATGTGCATTTTTATTGTTTTTGGTCAAAAGGTGAACTTATCCTTTAAGGGTGCTGCTCAGCTTTGACTTTTAGTTTGAGGCATCCTCGGGCCAAATTTGTAAAGCCAAATAAGGTAAATTTACATATACATTTTTTCAATTGTTAGGTCTGCACAGTTAAACAAATTTAAGACTACTTATTCAGGTTATGAATATCCAAATATCACTGGTTTACCTAAATGTATATTTGAATGGTAGATATTTTAAGTATTGACCAGCCCTAGATCTTTGTCCATGAATGGAGTCCCACTCATTTCACTTGAGCTAGGAATTTAGGCTCAAGTCTTCCAAGAGATTTGAAAGCCAAACAAATCCCACCTATAACTGAAGGCCGCTACGCCTTGAACGCAACATTTGAGTTATTACTACAACTTTCTTAGCACCCAGTAATGTAGGGTATTTATCAGATCAGTTATTTGCCTGTTTTATCATCTCTCTCTCATGTGCGTTTTCCTTTGTTTTGGAGGTCACCTTTGATATATATTCCCTTGATCTCCACTGAGTTATTTAAACAGTTCCAGCCCTGAGTAAAAGTATTTTCTTGTGTTTGCAACCAATCATTAAATCTAGTTAAGACACACCTGTTGTGTGAAGCACAGAGTTCTATCTTTGCCTCATTGTGCCTGCTGAATTATCTGCCCATCATACAGTACAACAAAATGATTTATACTCTAATAAACCTGGGAAAAAAATACTTCTTTATGATACCACAGGAAATTGTTAGGAAGTTGTCGAAGCTGATCACAGTCATAGATTTTGCTGTGGTTAGAAGACAATATCATGTTTGTGAGCACCATCAAAGCTTGCTGATTTACAGTTCTTGAGAGAAGGTTGACTGATCAGGTTAGAAAAATAGTTGACCAATAGTTATGGCTCACCCTGTGGAAAAAAAAAAAAAAATGTGCTGCAGATGTGTCTTGCTCCATTTCCCTGTCCATGCTCCAAAAGCAATCCAACCTGTGTATGGGTCTATTGCCACCTTTGACTGATAAGACTAAGCTTTATAATCTTGTTGTGATGAAGTGTAGGGGGAGATGTTTCCCTAATCATTTCTACCATGAGACTAAGAAAAAAAAGTGGCAGAGATGTGTTTTGCTTCACTCCCTTGTCCATGCTCTATAGGCAACCTCAAAATGCATGATTGGGTATGAAGCATCTGAAAAGACCTCTGAAAAGTCAGATTGTACCTTAATACCCAGCCATTCTCGGAGGTCTGTTCTGCCACTCTTGATATGAAGCTAAGCTCTATGATCTTGTCCTGAACATGTATATGGAGGAGATATATCCATAAAAATGTCTACCATGAGACTAAATTGCAGGATTGTGTGACACTTGAGGAGATTTAGGGCTTTTTTTCTACTAAAAATGACATGTTGCTGCACCCAAATTCTTAACTGTCAGGGACCTTTATTAGGAGATCCATCAAAAGGGTTTCTGCAAACTGCATCACTTATTACAGCAATTAGGTGCTTATAAAATCAAGGTTTATATATTGGGCAACCTTTTACTTTTCTCTATTTCTATTCACATGGGATGTCCATTAAATTAAAAAAATGAAGACTGAATATGTTCACAGTAGTATCCCATAGGAAATAATTACAATTACAATTTTAATGATTTGACTTCATTTTGATATCTGATTGGTCCTCATAGAATGTTGTAACTTACACATCATTGCTTTTTGCAGTGCTTTGTTCAATATGCTCAATATTTTAAGGACTAATTGCTGATTCAGTTTTCACTTTTTAGTTTTAGGCATCACAGTGCACATTTACTATGTAAACCAGATATGGGTGCAGGTTATCAACAGGACACCTACCACAACATTAATGTCAACAGAAAGCAAAATGCCTTTGCAGAAAATGAAGAACATACTGCAAAAGGTAGGTTTCCTGTTTTCACATGTCTACACGTGGCTATGCTGATATCCTCCATTCTGATATCAAGGAATATTACATCATAGTTTAATATTCACAGCCTGGGTATGGTGGAATGATGACGATGATGCAGCCTTCCTCCAAGTTAAAGGTTATTGGCTGGATAGGAATTTCGTGCTTGATAACCAGTTGTACCCTTGGCTAGACTGTAGCTATGCCCTCACAGAGATTCTTTTAAAGTAGAAGTTTCCTCACCACCTGCTCTGGCTTCATGGCATGCTGCGAAAGAATTATTTTCCTGTATAAGTTGACCTACGTGGGTAGGAACTGCCTCAAGAAGTTTGATAGGATATAGACCACCTGGACAGACTCCTGGGGTTCAGATTAACCCAATTATCTGAACCAAGGGACTCCTATCGCCAGAAGCTTTTTACTTCATGAATGTTGTGACATTCCTTTTCTGTGACTACCTTTCCCAACCCCTCCTTTCCCCTTTACTCTGTGTGTCACATCTCTTCCACTCCTTACTCACCCCCCCCCCCTTTTATATTTTCTCATTTTTTTTCTACCCTCTCTATGTCCTTTAGACCTGACAATGTCCTGATATCAACCCACAATTTCCCATGTGGACTACCTCTTCAACATTTGTCTAACATTTCTTCAGATCTGCCCACCTATAGTTTTTACTTCATCATATGTTTGGAATATACGTTGAACCCTTTGGGTATTGCTCGCTCAAAAAAAAAAAAAAAAAAAATTTGTACAATGGTTTAGATGGATAGATAGTCTATACTTATGTGAGGGGCGTTCAAGTCGAACCGGGACTTTTACAGGTATAATGAAGGATGCTAGAGTGGCGGAACTACACACAGTAGTAAGTGACAAGTGTGTCCTATTAGTAATTGGTGGCGCACATGTCACGAGCCAGTCCAGAGACTGTTAATCAAGATGGCAGACAACAGTGTCGGTGCGTGCATGGAACAACGTGTGGCGATGAAGTTTCTTGTGAACAAAGATGTGAAGCTTGTTGATATCTACAGAAGACTGCAAACACAGTACGGTGACGAGACGCTCAGCCGCAGTAAGACATTTCAATGGTGTAAACTTTTCAAAGATGGCCGTGCGTCCATCAGTTTATGATTCTGGCCATGGTGGTTCCCAGCCAACAGCAGTCCTTTCTTTCGAACATTCAGCGTGTAGAAAGCCTGATCCTGGATGATCAATGCATAACCCATCGTGAAATTGCACAGGAGATGAATCTTTCTGTGGGAATGGTGAACACAATGATGACTAAGTGAACAGGCTGTCCTAGGATGGTTCAAGCGTACTGACAAACCTTTCTATTTCTGAAGCTTTCCAGGCATTAGTTAAACGTTGGGATACGTTTAAAAATGTAGCAGGAGAGCATGTAAAAAAATAAATGCGGTTTCTACTTCTTTAAATTTTGTTCTTTTATTATATAAACCCAAAAGTCCCACTTTGACTTGAACGCTCCTCGTATCTTCTTGTTTTTAATGATACGGCGATATGCTGCATCGCTTATACCTGATTGATATTTTTCTCAATAAACTTGTAAAACAAAAAAAAACTGTAGCTGAAGCTATTGTCTTATGAAGGTTTGTTTAACCTTTGGAAATCTGACTCTACATTTTTGTTCTTCATTTCACTGCCCAAAATCATGCAAATTGTCACTTTTCTTAAACAACTTTATATCTAGATATGTGTTCTTACAGAGGACATAAGCTGCATCAAGTGGCATATTTAGGCTCCATGCACATTGGGCGTTTTAATAATGCTGGTAACATTAACTGTGTAAAGTCATGTTAAAAACGTGACTTTTTTAGCGGCGTTGTTGTATTAGCGTTTTGCCGCATTTTTTGCGTTCGTGTTTTTTAAAGCTTTTCACCAAAAAAATAATTTTTTTTTTTGGTCACAAAAGTCCATAAATGCTGGTTTGCCATGATTTACCATGTTTTGCCGCATTTTTCAGTGTTATAGCATTTTTACAACTAAAAAACTGCTCTAGAAACCCACTAGTCCTGGGTCTTTTTTTCCAGCCAAAAAACATCCCTGCCAAAAAATGTTGATTACAGTCCATGTGCATGGACACATAGGATAACATGCTGGGGGGTTTACTGGCTGTAGAAGAAACGTCAAAAACCAAAAACAGCCGCTGTAAAAATGTCCAGTGTGCATGAGGGCTAAAACAGGAACTGTACATATACTTTTCTGGTGTTTAAATATTATTAAATAATCTACCCAAAATGTGTTGAAGTAGAGAAAACATTTTAACTTTTATAGCCAAGTTCCTGAGATCATCTTGGCTCCACTAGGAGCCTAAGCTGTTGTGAGGCCCCTTTCTCCCCACAGGTAAAACATACATATTGCTGTGGATATTCTCCAATACAGATAAACCACATTCACCTTGGATTAAAAGTATGTTTGTATATAAGCCTATGAGAAGGTCAACAAGGAGAAAAACCGTAACGCACATTCACAAATTTGCTGTATCTTTAAAAGAATAACATTTGTAGTCACAGTTTTCAACAGATGTCTTTACTGGCTTTTATACACCACATACTGTATATTGCATTGTAGTGAAATGCAGAGACAAAGATATTATCTCAGAATGAACAGGCTGCATGCAATTGAATTCCTGAGGAGCTCATTGGCTCAGTGCAGTAACTTGCTTCTCTCTGCATTAGCATATGCATTGTGATGGTGTTCAATTTAAAACTGGATATTACACTGCTGGGTCTCAATGCAGCCTACAGCCTTCAATTATTTGCAGATCTATTACACTGCAGCATTACTGTTGTGAATGCTGGATTTGAGTCCACAGATTAATGTGAAGAGCTGTACAAACTGATAATATAGTAAGTAATGCATGAAACACGCCTTTCTGGCCAAAATGGGAGCTATTAAACTTGGCCATACAGCGATATTTTTTTATTTACGTTTGTGGGCTGAACCAAAGGAAAACAGATTCCTTCACTATGCTATACAGTATGGATGATTGAATCTTCCACTGCAGCTATGGAATTTCCACAGGTTGTCCACTGATTGCCAAATACCCGAACCTAACCAATCTGATTAAATGTAGCCACTGCTCAACTGCAAATTTTCCATTTGAGTTTTGTCAAATAGAGCAGGGCCACCCACTGAGTGAATTTTTGTTTTGGTTCCTGAAACATTTCCACAGTGTATGGCCAGCTTTAGCAGTCTGGTAAAATCACTTTGTGTTGTCCACACAGCGCCTTTTAAAATGAATCTGTACTGTTTAAAGTACAACTCCACTTTATTTCTTTCCATCCTACAGCTGACTTCCTCAAATGACCTTAGATCTGCTGGCGACCTGTTCCATCGCCTGTGACCTACACAAGCCTGGGTTGTCTAGTCCACTTCACTGAGCTGCCTGACTGCAGCATGCTGCATATTCTCCATAAGCCCTAATAGAAAAGCCTTCTCCCTGTAGGCTTGCAATTTGTCTACATTTTAAAGTGGCGTCCAGGTTCACTTAAAGAAGTTATTCAGCACACAGGGTTAAATGACTGTATGAGCTACTGTTGTATAATGAGAAATACATTTCTTGAGATTGTATAGTAAAAAGTTATATAATGGTTAATATGTAGTGTTTTATTACTCCACAGATTCTGTACGCCCCCTCTTCCACTCCTACCTTCTTTCTCTGGGTCAAGGAAATTTTTCAGACTTCCTGAAAGCCCTTCATAGACCTGATGCACAAGAGTTACTGACACATTGCACTAATTTCATTCAATGGATACAAAATGCAAATGTAAGTCTTTTAACTCTAACAAGCAAAATGTAAAAATATAAAAAAAAAAACTTGAACCTAATCACTTGCACAATATTGGTGTTACTTCTTGTACAGTTTATTTAAAGTGGAAAAACATTAAAGTGATATTAAAGCGTCTTTTTTTTTTTTTTTTTTTTTTTTTATGTATTTTATTAAAATAACAATTATGTTGTACTTACCTGCTCTCTGCAATGATTTTGCACAGAGCGGCCCTGATCCTCCTCTTATGGAGTCCCCTGCTGGCGCTCTTGAGTCCGCCATAGGAAGCCACTTTCTATGGTGGTCACTCTTGCAGGCTCACTCCCTATTCAGATCACTCTGGCTTGAGCCTGCCCCCCCCCCCCCCCCCGCTCTGTCACTGGTTTTGACTGACAGCAGCAGGAGCCAATGGCTCCCGCTGCTCTTGTCCAAGCCTGTGGGAGCCAGGAGAAAGAGAGAAGATACTGCAGATGTGCACAGCGCTGGACAGAGATCAGGCTCAGGTGAGTATCTGGGGGGGGGGGGGGGGGGGCAGGGGGGAGCTGCTCTTAAAAGGTTTTCTACCTTAATGCAGAGAAGTGTTAGTAAACCCGGGACCCTGCATTCACTGTATCTGGTCTCCCATAGTACACAGAACATGGAAGTAGAATTAATTCGATTAAATATAAACCGCTAAATACCTTTTCTCATCAGCAGTTAGAGCACCCTTGTGACTTCTGTGTCCTGCTGAGCACATGTTAAAGCTTGAAGGAGGAGTTTTCGTTTTGCTCTAGGGGGATGCAGAACCCCTGACCTCTGTCTGGACAGTGCTGATTAGCCATGTGCTGATCACATGCACTCTCCAAAGAAAAAAGAAAAATCTCTCTAGCTATACACACCAAACTGAGCATGTGCAGAGTGTCTGTCTCCACACGATATGTCTTATCAGGAGAAAAGAAGGGGACACTAGAAGAAGGGGAGGATCAGAGAAGAAAGGATCAAACAGCCTTTTTACACATGCAGAGGATTAACCCTTAGGTTCCACAGTGTGTATAACCAGCATGCTTTACTGCATATACAGACTGATTTTACTGTTGTGGGTTTACTAACACTTTTTAAGGTATAAAATAAATTTCAGCTTTACACCCACTTTTAGGCAAAACATTTTTTCTTTTAGTTTTGGCTGAAGTGGAGAAGGTTTAAGCTGGCCATACACTTAGATTTTTTTGTTAAGTTCATCTGTGTGGATTGATTCCTCCATCCACACAAACAAGACAGACAATGTCTTCCTCGTGTTTTGACGGCTGCACCCACTGCTGTCAAAATACACCGGTCAGTTGCAACTACTATTCTTCAGCATGTTCCTTGACAGAGGTCACTCAGACGATCGACATCTGTTGAGCAGGGATGGCTCCACATTGATAAATCAGTGTATGGCCAGTATAAGACCCTTTGTTGGGGTTTTATTGCTCTCTGTGTCCCCTTTGATGAGATTCACCCCTATATTTAAACTGTTGACTAATGTAACAGACAAAGTGAGGGAAAATCCAAAGTTTGCTTTTCCCCCCAAGAGATCCTTAAGATATAAGGGGAAATCATGAGATGGAGACACCTGTTCTGTTCCCCTCCTGTAACTTTTGGTTGTGTGGGGCAGGAAGTAAGGGGAAATTTCCACAATGGTACACAGACTGCAAAAAATAAAAGCTCTGGCAGGGGTTTAACTCTTCCCTATTATAGAAAAAAATACTTAACAGCACTGAAAGACCTAGGACAGGGAGAACTACATGGCTGTAGTTATCTTAACCACCTCCTGCGCGCCATATAGTCCAATGACGGGTGCAAGGTGGTTCTCTCGTTCTAGGAGGACGTCACATGACGTCCTCCCATTCTCACCGCGCATGCGCAGCTCAGGGAGCGCGCGGCGATCGCCGGTGCGCTGTGTCCCTCGGATCACCGATCCACGGAAAGAGCCGAAGATGTCGGCTCGGTCATGTGATCAGCTGTGTCCAATCACAGCTGATCACATGTAAACAGGGAAATGCTGGTTATCGGCATTTCTCTCCTCACGAGTTGTCACGCTCACAGAGGAGAGGAAAGCCGTAATCGGCATTCTGTAGAGCGGACATCTACATTGATCATCAGGCACTGATGATGATCAGTGTAGCCCCAGCAATGCCACCTGTCAGTGCTCATCAGTGCCACAGTGCCCATCAGTGCCACATCAGTGCCTACCAGTGCACATCAATGCCACATATCAGTGCCCATCTGAGCTGCCATTCAGTGTCACCTATCAGTGCCAGTCAGTGCCACCTATCAGTGCCAGTCAGTGGCGCCTATCAGTGTGCATCAGTGCCGCCTATCAGTGCCATATATCAGTGCTGCCTTTCAGTGCCCATCAGTGATGCCTGTCAATGCTCATCAGTGCCACCTATCAGTGTCCATCAGTGCAGCCTATCAGTGCCCATCACTGCAGCCTCATTAGCGCACATCAGTAAAGGAGAAACAAAAACTAAGAAAAAACTTTTTTTTTTTTTCACAATTTTCAGTGGTTTTTGGTTTGTTTAAGAAAAAAAAAAAAAACCCAAAATAAAGCTCTAGCTGTCTAAAAAAAAAAAAAAATGATAAAAATTTCATATGAGCCCAGTGTTGCATGACCGCGCAATTGTCACTCAAAGTGTGACAGCGCTGAAGCTGGAAATTGGCCTGGACAGGAAGGGGGTATAAGTGCCCAGTAGGCTTGTGGTTAAGATATACTGCAAAGATGGCATATAAAGGTGTTATGCTGGACACTGGGAAAACCAGGAGAAACTCTACAAAAGATTTTCAGGTGCAATGCCAAAAGGTAGAATGTGCACCTAAAAAGTCAGAGTAACCAAGCAGTGTAGGACCCACTTATGAGCATTTATAGATGTTTGTTAATGAGGGACATCTATTGCATTGCTTGCAGAGAATGTCTAAAAAGAGAAGAATTTTTCCATTAGGTTAGACATTCATACCCTTCCCCAAAAAAGGGAATGCTTCATGAAAAGGAAGTTTCCCAAGTTCAGATAGCATTGAGCATGCATAGGTATATCTGATGCAGAGTGGTTTGTCTCATCCGCGGTAACCAGAGACCTCTGTGGTTTTGACCTTGTTTTGAGAAGCAATTTTACATAGCAGTTTTACAACATACACTATTATTCAACACAGCCTATTGGTTGAAATATCTGTGAAGGTTCTCATTTGGGAAGTACAAGTCATGGTATAGCTAGTAGTAGTTAGTCACGTTTTAAAAGGGCTATGCTATAATGTGAACATTTTGATGCTTGACCAAGCAGCTTCTTTAGCTGAGTTAACAGGATAGATGAGCAGTGTGAAAGGTATTAAAGCTGAACTCTTGAGACTAGCAAATACTGTCCAAATACAGAGGGTATAGAAAAGAATCTTCCCCTTTTTAAAATAATCAAATGTTTTTGCTTTGCAGCCTGAAATGAAGACAGACACAATTTTTGTTTTATCCAGCTGTATTTTCTTTAGTGCAATTTATAACATCCAAGTAAAAGATCTAACACCGACATGTCAGAAAAAAAAAATCAAAAACAGAATCATTGAGTTGGAAAAAGGATCACCCCCCCCCCCCCCTCCTAAAAATTACTTGTAAACTCAGTCAGGTGTATCTAGTCACCTTCTCAATGGCACACAAAGCCCATTTGACTTTCAACTGTGATCAGCTGTGGTAATTTTGATTAGCTCAGAATGAAAATAACTATGGCATTCTCCTGGAGCATTTAAGTCCCTGGTAGTCACAACTGATGCAAACAATCAAGACTATGGGTGTCAAGGCACTGTCAAAAGATCTCCTGGGATTAAGTTCATGTGGACAGGCACACAGATGGATAGAAAAAAAGCGGGCCAGACAGGAGATGGATCCAAAAAAAAAACTAAATAATCAAAATGCACTCACCATTAAATATCCTAAAAGCATGCCTATGGGGGGTGTTTCTCTGCAAGCAGCAGTGAAGTCAATTCATTATTGAGAAGTGGAAGGTATTTTGTAAAACACCAGACCCTCCTGGATCAGGACGTCAACAAACACTCTAGGTGTCCAAAAGTCTGGATGGAAGAGACTAATTAAGGAGGAAGCTGGCCAGAGAGATTACCAAGAGGCCTACAGCAAAATAGTGAATACTCTGAAACAGTGATATAAATGCTGGAATTTACGAAAAAGAATGGTCATTGTGTGCATCCTTGTGACAACAATATCACAAATTCTCCACAAATGTGGCTTGTATGGGAGGGTTGCCACAAGAAAAAAAGGTTTCTCCTTTATTACTTTCCAGCCACTGCTCAAGAAAAGGCCACATGCAATCATGACTGAACTTTGCCAAAACGCACCTTGAAGATTCTGAGGCCACATGGAAAAAGGTGTGTTATGGTCAGAGGAGACTAAAGTTGAATGATTTGGCCTCAAAAAGCAGGTGCATGGCCGGCGGTAAATAATCCTGCTGGAAAGTAATAAAGGAGAAACCTTTTTATAAGGATAAAAACACTATGTCTGGCAATTTGTTCCCACATATGGAAATACCCACATGGGCTATTTTGAGGATAACGCATATCCACGTTCTCACCATGACCATAGGAGGTGAACCACATGCCTAATTGCGCAGCTAACACCATCTACCAATAGGATTCAAAGAAAGTCCATTCACAAAAAGTCCTACAGATTTAAAGCATGGAGGTTTAAAGGACATATATCCTGTTAGTTGGGGAGTATTCACTATTTATGATGTTTTCTTTTCATCTGCAGCATTGGTTTTGCGGTTATTATCATTTAGCATATACATTATAGTGGTCAGGATAGAATTTTGTAAAAATACCTGGAATGAGTTAATTAGATATATACATCAAAAATATTGTCACCGTCAAACATTATTTTATTGAGGAAAATCTGCTGTCCTCTGCCAGAAAGTTGTCAATGGGAAGGTTTACCTTTCAACATAATGACCCAAAGCACAGAGCAAAAATGAGCACGCAGTGGTTGAACGAGAAAAAGGTGAATGTCCTTGCATGGCCTAGTCAGAGCCCAGACTTAAACCCCACTGAAAATCTGTGGAATGACTTGAAGACTGCAGTCCACAAATTTTCACCATCAAATTTAACTGAACTTGAGCAGCTCTGTAAAGAAGAGTGGGCAAATATTGCAAAGTCTAGATGTGCAAAGTTAGTAGAGACATATCCCAACAGACTAAAGGCTGGAATTAAAGCAAAAGGTGGTTCAACAAAATACTGACACAAGGGGGTGATCCAACTCTGATTCTGTTTTTGGATTTTTGATTTATTTTTTTTGACATGTTGGTGTTATATCTTTTTCACTTGAATGTTATAAGTAAATACAGCTGGATAAAGCAAACGCTACCCTTCCTGTAGTTTTCTGCAGCCAGCCTGCAGTTGGTGGAGCTGCTGGGTCCCTCTCACAGCTATTTTCAGCACAGGCTATGTAAAGCACAGTGTTTATGTCACTGCTATTTTTACTGAGTAATATCTTGGTTTGCAAAGACATCTGGTGCACACAAAGCAGATTTTATCCTTTTGTGGGTGTTAAGAATTATTTTTAACTAAACACTTTTGTGCCCGGAGTTCAGCTTTAAACATTGCAGGACAAGTCCAGTTGTATATAACTAGTCACTCTCTCGCTATTGGTTAAATAATGTTTTCATTTATGTGGATAGGGGTTTGAAAGAAGGGATCCTGTTTATCAGAACTGTAAGATATAGTTATATATTATGAATGTGTTGCAGAATATTGCAGTGGATAAAAAAGCAGAAGATGTTCAGAATTTATATAGACAAATTGGGGACCACATTCCTGGTGAGTAATTGGATTCCTTGACAACATATGCTCATCTATATTACTTCCTGTTGTAACCCCCGTTTTCATAAAAATGATAGCTTACTTTGAACAGCAGGCACCATTTTAGATATTTACAGATTCTTGGGACTATGTTGTGGAAATATATAGGTCACATACTTTAAAGGTCATGCTAGACATTAGATGATTGGTGATTTTGGCCTGATCAGATAATGACCTAGCTGACATGACATTACAGGGCTGGCCTGTTGGTGACCTTCAGGCACTGGGTTCTGCTTGTGCTTTGTATACCCAGCACTAGTAAAAGTTAGCAGCAGTGTGCTTTCTAGGTCCAGAGCCCTTGTCATTGCTTCAGTGTTTGCCCTGTCTCCGAAGACTCACTCCATGAGTAGGCTGCTTGGGCTGAGCTATTGGAGCTCCCACATTGTTGCACAGATGGGCACCTTTTGAAGTCTCCCCATACAACCTGCTTACTGTGGGATGGGTTAATGTTGAGGGCCTGAGTACTGATGTCATCTGCCCGGTGTAGTATTGTACATTCCCACTCTGCACTCTTTGCCAGCCATTCTGCTGTGGCTTGCAAGAGCCACATAAACTCCAGTCTTCTGTTTATTCCTACTGCCTGCCTACAGTGACTTGATCACCTCTGGCCATCTGATCCTATACCTGCTACCAACGGTTGGGTTCATGACAAGTTGGGGCCTTGCCTTGTACTTTGAGCTTTATTGCCTTTTTCGTTTAGTGGTGCAACATGTCTGATTCTAAACATGGATGAGAGGGTCTTGCTGCCCACCAATGAGATCAATGCTGGCAGGCTAGAACATTTGTGCCATCTTCCGACTCTAACTTTGTTGGGCATTCCACTTCCTCTGCTCTATCCAAGGAGGATTTCACTGTAGTCATATGGGGTTTTATGGGCCAAATAGCACAGATGTTTCCTGACTCTGACCAAAGAGACCACAAAAGTCCTCCCATGTCTTACCCTGCAGATCCTTTATTTGACTAAGCCACCAATCACTGACACTCTGATGCTGAATCTCTCCAGTCCTTGAAGACAAACTGGCTTCTGAGGAGTGACAGTATTTTCCCGTTACTCCCTAACCGAAGGAGACCATTTTGACTTTTTGAAAAATAGAGGTCAGCCTACTTTGAATCTGGAGAGTCAAGCTCTCACTATGAGTGCTGTCCCTCAGGAACCTTTTTAAAACTCTTAAGACCATAAAGACCTTCCTAATGCATCTGCTGTTTTCGATCTTCCTTTTATGGCAACTGAAAACATCCTGATAAGATTTTTGTTCCTCCAAAGTGCCTATAAGCACTATATCAGTTTGAAGTGGACCTTGTTAAAAAGTGCTCTGCCACCTTTGTGGATTCGGCAGTGTCTCGCTTTAACAAATGTCTGTAATCCCAGTGGAAGATGCTCCTCTCTTTAGAGACCCCAGCGGCAGGCTGCTGGATGCCCTCTCTAGAGCCTTGTTCCGTATGGTAGGTCATGACGTGTTTTAGCCATGACCTTGATCTGTCAAATCCTGGCTGACTAGTCATAAGGATATTAAAAGAAATATGATTACTATAGTAGTTGATCTGTTTGTCATAGAGCATTTAGATAAAATGTCTGTAGCCTTGAGCTACTGTATGATCTGCTTGTTGATGTGTCTTTTGTCTGTAAATAGGAGGACACTGACTAGCTTGGGATTTTGGAGCCTGTGTCTACAAAGCACGTAGACTCCATGCACACTAGCATTTTTAAGCTCCTAGAAGCTGTTATTTTTTTTTTCTGCTTCTAGAAGCTAAATAGTGTTATCCTGTGTCCATGCACACTACTTTAGACTATAAGCATTTTTTTAGCCTCAGTGCCTAGGAGCAGAAAAAAATTGTTTTTGGAGCATTTTTCCAGCAGAAAAAAAATGATAAACTGCTAACGCTGCTAAACGCTTCTGATTGCTTCTAAAACGCTACTAAAAAAAATAGCTATTACCAGTGTTTTTTATCCAGCATTTTTTGAGATTAAAATAAAACTGAGTGTGCATGAAACCTAAATCTACATAGCGTTTGGAAAAACAATGCCTCTTAAGGGCTGCCCAGGATACCTTCATCAAGGATGTCATGGGTGGCATGAGTGCCAATCTTCCTCAGCCAAAGAAGCTTAAGGCTTAGTCTGAGAAGTTGCTGGCCTGTTCGTTTTTGTTTGCTGTAATCCCTCAATTGGACTGCCATTGGACATCCCCACAGTATACAGTGGAGAAAATAATTATTTGATCCCCTGCAGGTTGTGTAAGTTTCTACACTTACAAAGAAATTAAGAATATCAACCAAGAATCTAGAAAAAAAACACATTATTCAAATGTTACAAATTGAATTGTAGTTCATTGAGTAAAATAAGTATTTGATCCCCAAACAAAACATGACTTAGTACTTGGTGATGAAACCCTTGTTGGCAATCACAGAGGTAAGATGTTTCTTGTAGTTGGTTACCAGGTTTGCACACATCTCAGGAGGGATTTTGGCCCACTCTTCTTTACAGATCTTCTCTAAATCCTTAAGGTTTCTTTGCTGTTGCTTGGCAACTTGAAGTTTCAGCTCCCTTCAAAAATTTAATATAGGTTAATGTCTGGATACTGGCTAGTCCAGTCCATGACCTTAATGTGCTTCTCCTTGAGCCACTCGTTTGTTGCCTTGCCTGTATGTTTTTTGGTCATTGTTATGCCAGAAGACCCATCCATGACCCATCTTCAATGTTCTGGCTGAGGGAAGAAGGTACTCATCCAGGATTTTACAGTACATGGCCCCATTCATTGGCCCCTCAATGCGACATTCGGCCTTTTACCTTTAGCAGAAAAAACGTCTCCAAAGCATAATATTTGACTGTAAGGAGGGTGTTCTTAGGGTTATAGTCAGCATTTTTTCTTCCTCCAAACACAGCAAATCGAGTTAATGCCAAAGAACTCAATTTTGCTCTCATCTGAGAACAGCACTTTCTCCCAGTCCTTCTCTGAATCATTTAGATGTTCATTGGCAAACTTCAGACAGGCCGATACATGTGCCTTCTTGAGGGGAACCCTGCTGGCGCTGCCGTATTCCAATCCATGGCATCATATTGTGTTACCAACGATTTGCTTGGTAACTGTGGTCCCAACTGCCTTGAAATCATTCAAAAGCTCCTCCCATGTAGTTTTGGGCTGTTCCCTCATGTTTTTCATGATCAGTCGCTCAAACAGTTGTCTCCTTTTCACCAAGTTTCTTGCTGATGGTCTCGTAGCCCATTTCAGCCTTTTGCAGGTCTACAATCTTGTCCATGAAGTCCTTTGACAGCTCTTTGGTCTTGCCCATGGTGGTGAAGTTTAAATGGAAGAAAGAGATTCTGTGGACAGGTGTCTTTTATACACATAATGAGTTGTTGTTGGGAGCACCTTCTTAAATTGACGGGACTAATCTGTGTACCGCATGAGCACATATCCAGTCTGTGGGAACCAAAATTATTGTTGGTTGGTAGGAGATCAAATACTTATTTTACTCACTGAACTGCAACTCAGTTTATAACTTTTGTGTCATGTTTTTTCTGGATTTTTGGTTGATATTCTGTCTCTATTATTTAAAATACACCCATGATAAAAATTATAGACCCTTCATTTTTTTGTAAGTGGGCAAACTTACAAAATCTGCAGGGGATCAAATAATTATTTTTTCCACTGTATGAATTCCTCTGTTGCTCAATGGATGAGAAGGTAAATATGATTTTTGTACTGATTGTGGAGCCCATTGAGGGAGACAGGCACCCCCCCCCCCCCATGTTTATTATCCTGCTGTTGGTACTACTTTGTTACAAAGCTGGGGCATACTAGTAATGGCAGGGGTTACCTGGCTGCCCTCCTCCTCCTCCTCCTTCCTTTTTTTTTTTTTTTTTGCCAGTGTCCACTCCTCATACAATATTATGAAAATGCAAAACCCTAATTATGCTGGTAAAATTCAGGTCAGAAGATCTTCCGCAGGTCACATTATCCTGTGAGTGAATTTTGAATAATCTCAGAAGCATCTCAAACTGATGTCCAACTAACATTATCGACACACCTCCATAAAATACATGTAAACCCAAGCTGAATGACATTTTAGTTTTCAAAAGCCCTGTATGTAAACAAATGGCTTTTTTTAAAATAAAATGCTGTTTTCCTTTTTCATTCTTTTAATATCAGTACTGCTGACCTCCTGCAGGCTCTTTAAAGATGATTCATTTCTATATGCATGCACTTTTTCCCAGGGTGGTTTTTCTGACAACAGTGGAATATTTCTGTATAGTGTTGCAGCATGGTTGCTTGTAGTTTAATTATGAAGAATAGGTGGCAATACCGGAATGCAACTGGAAGACAGGGATAGAGCAATGTCAATGACAGGAAGTGCCAGCATAAGGACCTTCATAGCAGGATCAGCAGATATTTTATCGAATGCTGCATATTTAAAATATTGAAAATTATATTTTAAGTTCCCTTTTAACGCTTACATTAGATTTTAGTGATTGGGTTTACATAGACCTATATATGTAAGTTCTTTTTCACTCTGTAAAACTGGCATGTGTTATTGAGCCTTAATTTCGGCTGTCTTTCAGATACATCAGAGGAAAAAGACCGGCTACTGGATAATATTGAGAAACTGGTCATGACCCGTATATACAAGTCTGTTTTCTGTATGCATGATCCACTTGAGGAGCAGAAAGATCTTTCACTTCAGAATCATATTAGGTAAGCGACTATCACTCTGAATTAAAAGCCTTCGGTATTTTACTTCTAAGAGAATGACTGATCGCTGCTCTTAATGGGCATTGATTTTATTTTGTTTTTGCTGGAGGCAATGAGAAGCAACCCAGATGGTGAAATGGGTGATCTGTAAGTAGAGAGCTTTGTGAAAAATTCAGTAAGCTGCAGTAACTTGAAACTTGCTGGCTTACTGCATGTATCTAGGGACCATTAGTAATTAAATGTAAATAATCTAATTTTGGGAAGCCAACAATCATTTTTACCATATTCGTTATGTATGTGTGTGTGCCGTGTTGGACATGCATTCTGCAAGTAATCCTTATAGATAGGTGTGTTTTTGTTTTTTTTTTTTTTTGTTTAGGTCACTGAGCTGGGTTACTCCTAAGAATCTTCAGTTTACTTTGTGTGAACAAGATGAAGAAGTCGATGATCAGATTGCCAGTGCTGTTACAGGTCAGTGGATAGTATCTTTGCAAAGAAAATGACTTGCATATTTAAATTAAAACAATTTTAATGTAGATTGTGTTTTTATATCATTAGACAGTGTCAGTAATGGAGTTCACTCTTTATACATCATCCAGGAAATTATATATATGATATATATATTCATTTTTTTCAGCTTGTTCTGAAATACCTTTCTTTCCCTTTTTTTTCTCTTCTTCTACATGGCTCTCCAAATTTGAACCTAAACTCTTAAGATATATCTACTCTAATGCGCTAGGCAAGCAATGAGGAAGATAGGAATATGAAAGTCTATATACAGGCATACCTCGGTTTACGAATTTCATTTGTTCTGCGGGACTTTTCAAAAATTTGTAAACCGAAAACGCCGTTTCCCATAGGAATGCATTGAAAACCAATTAATCCGTTCCTGAGTCAGAAAAAAAGTAAATGCTACTAAAATACTGCATGAGTTATTTTATCAAGTCATGCGGTATTTTAGTAGTTACAACCATGTGTTAATGTTTCAGCTGTCAGCGGGATTCCCCACTGACAGCTGAATGTAAAAGAAGTGCTGGCAATTAAAAAAATGAATACAAAAATGTATTACATTTAAAAACAGGCACCATAACAATAATAAAAAAAAAATCACGTGGAGTCCCCCCTTCCATCCATACTAAGCCCTTCGGGTCTGGTATGGATTTTGAAAGGAACTCCCATGCCAAATTAAAAAAAAAAAAATGGCGTGGGGGTCCTCCCCCACCCCCCCCCCCCCCCCAAAATTAATACCAGACCCTTATCTGAGCATGCAGCCCGGCAGGTCAGGAAGGGGGGGGGGGAGGGGGGCAACAACCCGAGCGCCCCCGCTCTCCTGATTCATTGACCTCTACATGGGGGGGGGCACCTTAATGCGGGCAAGGGCCTCTTCCCCACAACCCTGGCCGACGGTTGAGGGGGTCTGCAGGAAGGGGCTTATCGGAATCTGGAAGCTCCCTTTAACAAGTGGAGGGCCGGCCAGATCCTGCCCCCCCCCCATGTGAATGAGTATGGGGTACATGGTCCCGATACTCATTCACAAAAAAAACAAAAAAGTGTAGTGTGAAAAAAGACAGGACACGGTCTTTGACAAGTCATTTATTAAAAGAAAAAACTAAAATAATGTCCCTGCAGTAGATCCAACATCAATCACGATGCCCACCGCTGTGCCGAAAAAAAGAATTTAAAAAGAAAAAAAAAGCTCTGCTTTCGACGATGGCTTCCAGCCATCTGCCTGCTCCGGTGGTTTGACAGTTCTTAAATAGGTAAGGGGCGGGGCCACCCGGGCACATCATCCGAGTGACATCATTGATAAGGGTTTGGTATGGATTGTTTTTTACAGTTTGGCGTGGGAATTCCCCTCAAAATCCATACCACACCTGAAGGGCTTGGTATGGATGGGAGGGGGAACCACACGCGTTTTTTTTTTTTTTTGTTTGTTTGTTTGTTTTATTATGGTGCCGGTTTTGAAATGTAATTACCGCTTTTTTTTTTTCTTCACTATAGCTCAGAGATTCAGCTGTCACTTTACCCCCAGCTACAAGAGAAAGTTTATTTTTTAGTTTATTTCCCCAAGTTAATAGAAACAATGTTTCCTTTTAGTTTCTTAAAAGAAACAAAGCTTCCTTTAACTCCAAGGAAAGTGACAGCTCTGTGAGCTATAGTGAAGAAAAAAAAAAGTCGGCAATTGCATTTAAAAATCTGCACAGACGAACAGTTTGTATTGCGAAAACAATTTGTAAAAAAGTCATTATTTTCAATGGATTTTCATTTGTAAACCGAAAATTACATTAACCGAGGCGTTGGTAAACTGAGGTACACCTGTATTTACCTATTGGTTGTAATAAGTAGATCCTGCAATGCCAGATTCTAATCATTCAACCTAAATTTATCATGTTGGGGCACATGTCCTACAGTAGTTCTGCATTACAGATGTTGGTGACAGCTGAGCCTTCATCCGCATTGACCCATTATTGATTTCAGCGTCCCAATGCATTGCTACCTCCACTTAAACTCATTATACCCAGAATCCTAGCACTATATTCATATCCCTACCCTCTCCCACTAATGCCTGCTTAATCCATTAAAGTGAAGCTAGCTGCGAGGGTGCTAAAACATCTGGGCTAACTCCTCTCATTCTCCTATCATTAGTAACAAATGCTGAATTCCAGTGTTGTGGGTATCATGGCTTTTTTTGTTATGCCATCATATAAAGACCAAAGACTTATGGCTACATTTAGGGCATATACTGTATAGTATAACATGGCAGTAGTTGGTTATTGAGATGCAGCATAAGTGTAGCTGTTGTTGCTCTAGATTGCATGTTCATATGATGCTGGTTTTTGAGATGGCTTTTGCAGAGAACTTGACATAGCATGGAGTCAGCGGTACACTTCTAAAATGTAATTATACGGTATATTTCGCCTCCTCGTTCCACATACTGTATGTCTGGTAATTTTGTATTTAGTTTATATTTATTTATTGACATTGCCTAGCCAATGATCATGTATTGAGTGAGTGGTATGGATACACTGTTATCTACATGCCCTTTTCTATATTGGTATGTTAATGGAAATTGATCACTGTCCAGTCAACTCTGGAGGAATGACAAAGTAAATATAAACCAACTATATATGTTCACATCAAAGTATAAAATATCTTATTAAAGATAACCTTTTTCTTTTACTTATAGTTCTGTTAGAAATGGATTTTAAGAGAGCCCCACAGGACAAGCTGGCTTGTGTGACAAAGGCATGTGACCACCTTTTGAGAGCCATAGAAATCTCTACAAAGAAGCCAGCCACGACTGATGACCTTATATCTGGTCTTATCTACATCACAATTAAGGCAAATCCACCTCGTCTTTTTTCTAATTTGAAGTATATCACAAGATTCTGTAATCCAAAGAGGCTAATGACGGGGAAGTGTGCCTACTGGTTTACCAACTTTGTGAGTATCTGACAAGCAGGGTCAGGGCCAGTGTTGACAAGGCTGTGGGTTGCAGATGCAGCATGCGTTTGACATCAGTTTGAGATACTTCTGAGATCATTAAAAATTCATTGACAGGTACATTTGATCAGTAGCTGACTACCTTCTGAATTGCATTTTTACCAGCAGTACACCTCATTCTGACCTGCCTTTGATCTGCTTCAAGCTGCTTTTGCATTCCCATTGACTTATATTGCGAGAGAAGCAGCCCTGGTGTAAACACAACCCCATTGACATTGGCCCTTAGTCATTCGAGCAATGTATAGAGCAGTTATGGTGGGCAAAGTACAGGAATAAATGGCATTGAATGCCATGCTTTTTGTAGTTTGCTGTACTGAGGACTATATAGGCTGTCACTGAAACTCTTCTCTTGAAAATACTAGTTGTCTGTGTTTTTATGTTAATTTAAAGCTTCAAAACTTGACTCGCCGACCTGTAATAAGTAATCAGATTACAAGTTCTGACTCTCCTTTTTCTTTACTACGTACATGCTTGTTCCAGGCCTGTGCCTCAAAACGCATCAGACAGCTTGCATTTTTAGATGGAGGTTAACAATGGCAGCTTCTTTATTTATACTATAAAACTATAATGGTTCTGGGCCAACCATCAGTGAAACTGATGTTTATATATTTTTATCTATTAATATACAATGTATACTGTAAGCACTTATGTGTGTAGGCTTCTACTTTGAGCCTTTATGTTGCTTACTGCATTTACAGCTGCAGCATGTCTGATTTCACACACAAGGGGAGGCAGTCAGGGTTTTCTGAGTGTCTTCACGATGCTATCCACTAATGAGCTAGGTCTGCCTGCAGCACACTCCTCGATAATACCAAGATGCATAGTGTGAAGTTGTGTTGCCCATTAGTGTTGAGGTCAGTCCCTTCCTCAGAGTCTTGTCTGGCTCCGTGGGGTTTTGCTGGGCCTGCTCACTGCTAATGGTAGATTTTAACTACAGTCATGAGTGACTTTGTCACAGGTTGCCCAGTATAAGGCTGAACCTGACCTCGGAGGCCACATACTCCCTACCACGCCTTTCCCTTTAGACACAGTGTCTGTTTTGCTCATGGCATTGGCTGCTTCTGAGTGTTTGACTGATACCTAATCACTCAAGACACTGACTGATGTGCTTCCCTCTGAAGAGTCAGTCATCTGCTATTACTCTGAATTAGCAGAGGCTTGGGTATGGTCCTTACTAATGTGGTGCCCCACACCTTTTAAAACTGGAAGATCAGTTGTGGGTCCTACAGGTCTCCTAAGGACTCCAAAACCTTCCCTTCACACCCTCTTTAGAGTTGTTTCAGGTCAAAGGGCTTTTGTGCCTCCCACACACTTTTTAGTTCTGTACAATTCTAGTTGAAGGTGTCTCTCTTCATTATAGGGCCCTACTGATAAGACAATAGAAGCTTTCTAGGGCCATGTTTCCTTGGCAGGTTCTTTCTTGCACCCATTTCTGGTGACAGTTCTTATATCCAAGACCATGGCTGATCTGGTGAAATCCCTTAAACTTGAGGTGACTAATGCTGTCATTGACCCTCAGATTGTTAATCGTATGGACCAGATTTCTTTGGCTTTAAATTTTAGCTGTGATTGTTTGCTGGAAGCTCCTAACTTACTGACTAGCATTGGTCTTCTGTCCGTACACTTGCGCAAGGCTCTGTGGCTGAAAAGCTGGACTGTGGAAATCGTTTTGGCCTTTGAGGGACAATGTCTGTTTGGAACTTTGCTGGATACTGTCATCAAGGTGCTACTTGGAGTAGGAGTACCCACCTTTGTTAGTAACACAAACCAGTCATTTTCCCCTTCTCAGAAGTCCTGGTGCTGTAGAACACTTTCAGGGGTTTATGCCGAACTGTTATCTGTTCCCAAGCCCAAAACGGATATTCGCCCATTCTAGACCCCAGAGCTTTGAAGTAGAATTCTGAGCTTTACCTAACCAGTCTTTAAAACACTCCCTCCTCCTAACACATATGCAGACTAACCTGTGTAAGAAAGATCTGTATACTTACCTATTTTCAGCCTGTTTCACACCAGTGACATGATCTGGCTCCCCTCTGTAAGGCAATGGCTGCTGGCTGTGAATCGGGAATTCACGTGATTGGACCAGAGTGGTTTGAAAATATTTAAGTAAACAGATCTTTCTTACAAATGTTAGAATAGGTGTTAGGAGCAGGGAGGGTGCATGTTTAAGATTAGTTAGGTAAAGCTGGAATTCTACTTTAAAAGTGTCCAAAAATTATGCATGGAATCGACAAGATCCATTATTGTCTCTCTGCATCAAGGAGACTTTCTGGATATGAGGGATGCTTATTTACATGTACCCATCTTTTTGATGCTTCCTGTGCTTTATGGTGGGGCCTCTGCACTACTGGGTCATGGCCCTTTCATGTGGCCTGTTCTTTGCACCTCGGGGTCCAGTCCACTCAACTTTACTTACCCTAAAGATGACTGTAGACCAGCCTTTCTCAACCTTTTTATACCACACAAGAACCCTTAAAATATTTGCGGTCATTGGGAAAATGCTCCTTCATTGATGGCAAGTGGGAAGAATCCCTACAACGTTAAGTAGCTGACTGTGCCAATTGACATTGGCCCTGGACTTATGCAAGCACCATCTACCGGAAGGCTATTCAGCCACAGCTCAAGAAACTCCCAGCAACCTCTGGAGGAACTCTAGGGTTCCACAGAGCCCTGGTCAAAAATGACTGCTGTAGATCATGAGCGGCAAAGGCGAGAGGTTACCTGTAGTCTGCCAACTGCCTTACTGAATGCTGATACACATGCTGTCTTACACGTGTGAATATACTGTATATACCTGTAAAATAATGTAGCAAAACCTTAAGAAATAATATAAAAAAACTAGAAAAGCTCCAATTTCTGGGGAAATTGTGTGACGTGTTCTTGCCTCCACCAGTAGTCTACAACTGGAGTAAGCAGAGTAACTGGGTGGAGTGGCTTGAGTAACTGTGAAAAGGTTGGACTGGGCAGAGTAACTGTGTGGAGTGTTTGGAGTGAGTAAAGATAGTAAACATTACACTAATTGATCAAATTTAAAAAGTGCACATGGCAAGCTTGATAGAGTGAGAAATGCATTTCAACTTTTAATTATTTATATAGCACATTTAATTGCAATGTTGTTGCCCAAAGTGCTTCACAGTTACATTAAAACATACATTTATAAAAACATTAGCAGCATTATGACCTCAAATACTCTCTACTGTAGAAAAGTTATTTCCAAACCTTTAACCAGAAGCCGGCCAAACTGTCACGAGTTCAAAATTAGATTTCAAATAGGGCAGAGAAGAGCGGTTAAAAACAAACTGCTCCAAATTGCTCACTTCACTGGCGTCTTCAAATGGTCGTAGTTTTAAAAACTATAAATCCTACAGCGAAGAGCTTTATATTGTGAATCACAAGACCCAGACCTACATTTTGATGCATAGTATGTCTCTGAAATATTAAAAATGAAGGCACAGTCGCAGTTTAGAAATTGCCCTTCAAATTTGAGGTGGCTAGAGTGGAGTTTCAATGAATGTCAATGGGCGGCATGAGTTGCAAACAAATGGTCATATTGTGAAAACTATCAGGACTACGGCTTACCCGTGGACATTTTTAGTGGCAGCAGGGATAGCTGAACATTTTAATATATTTGTGTAGGTGAGCTTGAAAATGAGGGAGTGATGGCAGTTTAGAAATCATGTCCTGATTTTTCAGCTCACACTCTAGCTTTTGTCAGCCCCCACTCTAGTTTTGAACATTCCGCCATTCATTCTTATGGGACCAATTTCACCACAAAAACGCCGATATTTCATGAACCATTCGGCGAAACGTTCCACAAAGTAATAGCACACCAATCGGGAACAATCCGCACGTTTCGGTATATTACTGTCTATGTAGTGTAAAAACTGTGGGAGGAGTTAGGGTGGTAAATTTGGCTATAATAATAAGAATATATATGTGAGATAACAGTAAGTGGTCTTGCCATGTAAGAACACTTAACTACGGGGATCTGTGTTTTCATATTGTTTTAGTTATTCGGGAGCTGACAGACCGTGTGATCAGCATGATTTCTAGCAGTTGATAGGCAGCACTGTGGGCCTCTAGGGGCCTCTCACCTGACCCTCAGCTCCAAGATATCAGGAACATCTTTGTTACATGATACATTTTTTAACAGATTATTTAAAATATGATTTCCTGTGAACAGATGGAACCTCCTTTCCTGGTTCTCAAGGGATAATCTTGTGTCATTTGCAAAGGCTACAGAGAATAACATAATGGCTTTAAATGGAACAGTAACATGCCCACTGTTGTGGTTTTTCTCAGTTTAAATGGTTTCTGACATTTATAAATTGATGTAGCTGTTTCAAATAAAAGAACTACTGTTGTGAATGTTAGCATATTATGGTATTTCTATATAGAGTTTATATTTTTAATGATAACATTTAGTAAGATTTATTTTTATTTTATATGCCTTTTTTATTTTTCTGCAAGCTGTCCAGCAATGTTGATAGTGGTTAAGACAAACTACACCATTGTTGGAGGGCTCACCCTTTTCATGACCACAGGTCATCGATTCCTAAATGCCCAAGCCTAATTTGTTTACCTAAATAAATATTACATTTTTTTTTTTTGTAGCGGAGCTAAAGTTCTGCTATGATATGCTGTGAGTATGCAGGCATTTTATTGCAGAAGAGAGACATGCAATGTTTCTTCTGCAATAAAACATACTTACCTACCTGCTCACTATGATCCCTAGACTGTATACTGAGCAGCGACTGGGACTAGCTTCTGCATATGTACAGGAATAATGTCATCCCTCGCTGGCCAATGAAGATGGCCGAAACTGGAGAAGATGCTGGCAAGAGAGCATTGGGAAGGTGAGTAATCCTCCTTTTAGTTCCGCTTTAATATTCCCTTTATTTGGCACATTGAGCAGGGTATTTATTAAAATAGGTATTTTATTTAATTATTATAAGCCAACAAAAGCAAAAAAGTATAATAATTGTATATTAGCGGGGAATGGTTAAACAGTGACTTCTTATCTACATGCTTCAAACCCTTTACTGGACAAAAAAATTTGCTGCAGCTGCTAATTGTGCCAATCCCCCGGTACTGTAATGTATACTGAACAGATTTGCAAAAACTTGGACATGAATCGGTGTGAACTTTACATGTCCATATTTTTTATGATTTTGGTACCTTTAATGTCTCACTTTAGAAGCCAGTTCATGGAATGCTTAAATAAATCAGGTGACATATTCAGAGATGTATAGGAGTTGTCATTACCCTATAGAAAATAATCATGCTATTCTCCTATCTAGTGTTCTGCGTCCTCTTACATAGAGACTTTGAATTTTTCATCTCTGGGGCTCACGGAGGAGGAATTCAATCATATAATGCAGGAGAAGTCAAAAGGATGTGACTTTGCTGGAAGCAATATACAGAGCACGGTGCAGAAGATGGAGGAAAACAAACAGCGTTTGGTTGAGCTGCAGTACCGCCAAGAGATTCTGATCCAAAAGGCAGAGTGCCTGCTAAGAGAAATAAAAGCTTGGCCTGTGTCCCTACAAGGTGAGGTCCAGGAAATCCTGCACAAGTTCCCTCTGGATATCAAGCATCACACAAACTAAAAGCAGTGGTTGGTACTTGAAGAAATGTGAACCATGTCCTAATTTATGCTGCTACTGACTGGGAGCTACCTAATGAAGGAAATGTTCGACGTTTATGAAACTGTGTCTGTCTGTCTTCTGTATCTGATATTTCATAAATTTAGAGACTTGTTTAATAACACTAATAACATTTTTATAATGTCCATGTTCTAAAAAATTACAGCTGAAATGTTTATTCTAAGCTTTATTTAAATAATTAAATATCTGATTAGGTTACCTGCAGCCTGATTACTTTTCATTAATCTTCTCCTGTAGGATAATGTGATGAACACGATGCCCAATCTCTGCCCACCAACCCATGACAAAGGACTGGCCAATCTCACACCGCGCTGTCACTTATGTAACAATGCCACTCTTAGCTGCACCCTGCACAAAGATTTTCCAGCTTGCAGGACCACAATCTAGGTGCCAGCAGCCTGAGAGCAACTCTCCCTGGGTTAAGTTAACTTAGCAATTAACTATTTAAGCTACTACCACCACCTTTTTACCAAGAAGAAGAAGGAACATACAATCCTAGCAATAACCACTATGATTTTAGAATAAACGTCTGTAACATGCACAGTCACCAGGCAGATACAGTCAGAGATTTATCATATACAGTAGCACCCTTCAAGAGACAGGGTTTCTTTTAGTTTGTATTAAAAGCCCTAGAGACAGTTTTAACACTTTTCAAAATAGGGTTTAATAATGAAAAGGTCAAAGGGGTGCAAATAATATATTTACAGAAAAAAGGGTGTTATAAAGGAATAGAGAAAATAAAGCAACGGAGAATTAAAAAGGAGTTGAAAATGAAGAATACTTGGTTTGAGCAGAGTTCAGTCAATAAGCAAGGTGTTATTGGCTTTCATAACTTGACAGATGTTCCTTCATTGATGGTACACAGGAACTGTCAAATCTAGTTGCAATCTCTTTTTTTTATCTGACATCAAGGGGGGTGTTGACAGAGACCATCTGACCAATTACATGTCTGGGGAGTTCCATGGGATGTCACTTGTTTATGACCAAGTTGCAGTTATAGTTTTCTATAAATTTAAATGACTTTGAATATCTGCAGGGTATAGTCAGCTACCTGGCATATTGTTGTCCAGCATAAAATTAGCTTCAAAATAGAAATAGAAATCCGAGACCTGTCATTTCTATATCCAATAGGAGGTGTGTGGAGGCCTAAGCCACTCTGGTTCCTCCTAGCATAGGGGTGTTGGGGTTCAAAATGCTACAAATTAACTGAGTAAGGGAAATATGTCCTTACTATGGCGTGCGGTTTGTTTTTCATGAGTTACAAAAAATGCTAAAGTTTTAGAGTCTTGGCTGCTAATCATTCTAGTAGGAATGTGGATTGATTGCCTTAGGCTGACCTATTTGCAACCGGCTATCTGTTAGTTCACTGGATTGCTCAAGCTTGGTGGGTGACAGTTGGATTAGGGTTTCCAGGTTGAAATTGTGGACTGGGTAATGGAGAGGACAGGGTTGTCCAATCGATGGATTGATAACAAGGTCCTAGCATCAGTTAACAGTTTGTGTGTTGTATAATCTGAAGGTGGTGGGGGGGGGGGGGGGTAATCGTCTGCAAAGCTGACAGGGGAGAGACCTGTGTGTAAACAACACAGGTCTCTCTCCTGTCAGCATAAACTTGCTGCTTTTTATCTCTCTGTACAGCAGAGATACAAAGCAGCATGCCTCCCAAGTAAAACAGCACACAATTTAAAACACAAACAGCACACAGTTAACCCTTTGCTCGCCCCATTTGTTAACCCCTTCCTGCCCAGTGCCATTAGTACAGTGTCAGTGATGTTTATTAGCACTGATTACTGTATTAATGTCAGTGGCAGTTCCCACACAGTGTCAGAATGCCTGCCACAGTCCCGCTATAAGTCGCCGCCTTTACTAGTGTGAAAAAAAAAAAATTCCAGTATCTATACCACCAGTTGTAGACGCTATAACTTTCAAGTAAACCAACTAATATACATGTATTGGGATTTTTTTTTTTTTTTAGCAAAGACATGTAGCAGAATGCATTTTGGCCTAAATTTATGAAGAAACTTTATTTTTACATTTTTTTTATTGGATGTTTTATAGCAAAAAGTCAAAAATATGTTTTTGTTTTTTTTCAAAATTGTCTGTCTTTTAATAGCACAAAAAAAAAACGCAGAGGTGATCAAATACCACCAAAAAACCCTCTAGTTGTGAGGAAAAGAAATTACACAAATTTAATTTATGTACAGCATTGCAAGACCACGCAATTGTCAGTAATGCAGCACAGTATCAAAAAAAAAAATGGTCTGGTCAGGAAGGGGGGTAAATCCTCTGGAGTGCAAGTGGTTAAAGATGAAAGAATAATGACATGGCCCCCATCCTCACCTGACCTAAATGCTATTGAAAACTTGTGGGCCCTTCATAAATGGGAGCTTTACAATGAAGGAAAACAGTACACGTCTCTGAACAGTGTCTAGGAGGCTGTGGTTGCTGCTGCACAAAAAGTTAATTGTCAATAGATCAAGAAACTAAACTCCATGAATGGAAAGCTTATGATGCTATTGAAAAGAGTGGCTATATTAGTCACTGATTTTTTTAAATTATTATTTAAATGTCAGACATGTTTATTTGTAAATTTTGAGTTGTTTATATTCATCTGTTAAAGTGAGAATAATGAACAAACAAGTGAGATGGGAATTTTTTTGTTTTTCATCTAGTTGCATAATTCTGCACACTAATTGTTGCCCAATAATTATGCACACATAGATATTCTGCTAAGGAAGCCAAAACCTCACTTTTACTTTCTTAAACATTCAGGTTTGAGGTTTTTTAACATTTTGGATTGATTGAGAGCACCGGAGTTGTTCTATATTGAAATTAATCCTAAAAAATACAACTTTCCTAATAATTAGTCTATACTCGCCTAAGCTCCCACCTCAACGAAAACAACCTCCTCGACCTCCTACAGTCCGGCTTCCGTCCCCTACGCTCCACCGAAACTGCCTTACTCAAACTCACCAATGACCTGCTAACCGCCAAAGCTAATGGCCACTACTCAGTGCTTCTACTCCTCGACCTCTCCGTGGCCTTCGACACAGTCGACTACCCCCTCCTCCTCAAACTACACTCCCTTGGCCTCAGAGACTCCGCTCTCTCCTGGTTCTCATCCTACCTATCACAACTCCTCGCTCCTTCAGCGTTACCTATAACACTACCACCTCCCCCCCACTCCCCCTCTCTGTTGGGGTCCCTCAAGGCTCTGTCCTCGGGCCTTTTCTCTTCTCCATCTACACCTCCTCCCTTGGCCAACTGATACACTCTCACAGCTTCAACAACCACATCTATGCCGACGACACGCAAATCTATCTCTCGACCCCTCGCCTCACCCCTGCAGTCTCCGCCTGAATCATCAGCCTACTGAACGACATTTTAGATTGGATGTCGCTCCACTTCCTGAAACTGAACCTCTCCAAAACCTAGTCTTCCCCCCAGCCTGCGCACCCCCCCACTGACTTCTCCATCACGTCCAACCATGCCACCATCAAGCCCCACCCCGCAAGCCAGAGTACTTGGTGTCATTCTAGATGCCAATCTATCCTTCTAGCCCCAAGTCCAACAAACTCATGCAGACTCCACCTCCGCAACATCGCCAAAATACTCCCATTCCTAACCCCAGAAACTACTAAGCAGCTCATCCACTCCCTCATCATATCACGACTCGATTACTGCAACTCCCTCCTCACTGGCCTGCCTCGCCGCTGGCTATCCCCGCTTCAGTCGATCCTGAATACGATGGCCAGACTCATCCACCTTACCAACCGCTCCGTTTCCGCCACCCTCCTCTGCCAATCCCTCCACTGGCTTCCGATTGCCCTATGGATCAAATTCAAACTGCTAACACTGACGTACAAAGCTGTCCATAATTCTGCCCCAAACTACATCACCGACCTAAAATCCAAATACCACCCAAAACGCACTCTCCGCTCTTCACAAGACCTCCTTCTCTCTAGTTCCTTGGTCTCCTCCTCCCATGCCCGCCTCCAGGACTTCTCCAGGGCATCACCCATCCTCTGGAATACATGGTTTCCTGTGATTGATTGAGCAGCACTCAGCCTGACTTGATTTTGTTCCTGCAGAAAACAAGAAGTTCCCCATACCACTGCTGGAACACAGCATTGCCATGTATTGACCAGTATTTATTATTATACAGTATTCATATAGCACTAAAAGGTTTGCTCGGCGCTGTACATTATAGTGGGGGACAGAACATGAGACAATACAGTAACAAAACAAAACACGAGGGGGTCAAGGGCCCTGCTCTTTCGAGCTTACAATCTAGGAGACAGTACTATATAATCTTACAGCTTATAAAGCGCTGACAGTGGGTGCATCTATTACTAAAATAAATGGTTCCTTTGGGCCAGTGTGGAACAAACTATTCAAAGCAAAAGTAAATCTGAAATTGGAATTTTGAGACACTCTAGAAACACTAGTAGGACCAGTTTATTGTCCTTCAGACTTTAAGAGGGCTGCAGGTGGGGGTAGTGCCTGTGGTGAAGAGGAATCATACCTCATCATTGGTGTCAGTGGTAAGAATAGTGCCCCATCATTGTTAGTGGAAGGAATAAAGCCCCATCTTTGGTGTCGGCAAAAGGAAGTGTCCCATCTTTGGTGTCAGTGGGAGGAATAGTTCCTTATCATTGGCATCAGTGGGAGCAAAAGTGTTCCAACATTTATATCAGTGGAAGGAAGTATGCCAAAATGTTGGTGTCAGTAGAAGGAAAAGGGGACTCACCATTAGTGTAAATGGAAAGAATGATGCCTCATTGCTGATGTCAGTAGAAGGAATAATGACTTGTATCAATGACAGGATTAGTGCCCCAAGGGCTGAATAAAGGCAGGCAAAGGGCCACATCTGGCCCCCGGGCTACAGTTTGGAGACTGCTGCATTAGAGACATGTTTACTGGTAACACTAATAACATGACAT